AAAAAAAAATTAAATAAAAATGCAATGAATAATTAATTAAAAAAAACTAGTAAAACTTTTGAACTTCAAAATTTCAGCAAGCAATTGAATTTTTCAGCATTTACATGCATAGCACAGCAAAACCTTCATGAAAAATTGTACTAATTACCACTTTTTAACTATCAAATTCACATTTTTCATGCATAGGTGAATTGATGTGGGTGTAAATATCAAAGTTTAGGTTGTAAGATATGTAAATCCATAATAATTGAGTGTTGTGTATGTAAATTTTCCTTGAATTTTTATATTTTTATTGAAGTTCTATTTGTTATAGATCAGAATTAGGAATCCAGCAACATTAATAACTAAATACTTAAGAAGAAAAAAAGATAAAGAAAATAAATCACCAAAAGGAAAAGTATCTACATCATATCAACTGAATGAAGTTGCAGATCATATCAAATCACATAAATAACCCCAACACCCATAAAATCATGTCAAATAAAAACTTTATGTTTCATACATACAGCCTACTTCCTATATATTTGCATATCGACCATCTACATTTTATGTTTCACATTTATACCACCAAAATCTTTCATATCACATAAAAATATTCCCATTTAAACTTTTAAAATAATGAAATACATTTTTTCATCCGCAGGTGAGATGGCATGCTTGTAAAAAATTAATTTTAGGTGTTTTGATCTGTAAATACGTAAGAAATGAGTTGTACTTGCGTAAATCTTTCAAAAATCAAATTAATAAAGAAAACATCCCTCTCCCATAAGTAAAATCCAATATAGCTAAACTTAAAATCTGTAAAATAATTTAAAAAGAACTAGACATTAATTTACTCAACTTAGGATTAGATTGACATCAACCTGACATTCCTCAAACAAGATGCATGATTTATATGAAAATAAGTATATAAAAATAGTTATTGCTTACTGATGGGAACAACATAAATTATGAGTGCATTTCAACGATGTTGTACAAATTGTTGTACAATGTGTACAACAATGATGTCCATGAAGTCCGGATGCATCACGACTCCAACTCTGCATGTAATATTCTCTCATAAATTACACAACTACACATAAAAAAAACAGCAGTTGTTGGAAAAGAATTAAATGGTAATTTATGGTTACCAAAATTCATTGTTTCAGTTCTTGTCATTTGCTGCCAGAGTCCTGAATACTGGTGAGCACCATGTTGATGCTTATTCTACAATCCACCAATTAGAGCCTGAAAACTCTTTATAGCGCTCCATCAACTCTGGATGACAGCCCATGATTGATAAAAGATTTACGGAGGGAGGAGGATCTGGTAATTCCCGGAGTTTGCAGGCTTCACCGATATCAATGCAAGTGAGAGAATAAAGATTAGATATGCATGAAGGCAAGCAATCCAATTGATCAAGCTTCTTTAGACGGAGGGTAGACAAAGAGGGTGGGAGGTCTGGCAGTGATTTGAGGTTGGGAATGCTTTCTAGGGATAGATACTCAAGGGATGAGACGTCCAACAAAGAAGATGGGAGGCACTGCAACGATTCGAGATTTTCAAGCTCTAATTTTATGAGACTGGTGGGGATCTTCGGTGGGAGCAGTTGGAGTTGAGGAACCATTTTAATATGTAGAGTTTCAAGTGAAGAGTTGGGCAAAGAAATTGGCAGCCACCGCAATGATTTGAGATATTGAAGAGTTAGACATTTCAGAGCGGCGGGCATTTCAGGCAGCAGCCGGAGCAGAGGAACATTTTCCACACGTAAAATCTCAAGTGAAGAGTCAACCCTAAATGATGGAAGACTCTGCAATGACTCCAGATATTCAAGCGTTAGATGTTTCAGAGAAGCAGGGATTTCAGGTAGCAGCCGGAGCTGAAGAACATCTTTCACATGTAGAATTTTAAGTGAAGATTTGGAAAAAGAAAATGACAAGTGTTGTAATGATTCTAGATGTTTAATCTCTAAGTGTTCGAGAGAGGCGGGGATTTCAGGCAGCAGTCGAAGCAGAGGAACTTTTTTAACATGTAAAATCTTAAGTGAAGAGTCACCCTTAAATGATGGAAGACTCTGCAATGATTCGAGTCTTTCAAGCCATAATTGTTCCAGGGAGGCAGGGATGTTAGGCAGTTGCCGGAGAGGAGCATCTATCACATGTAGAGTCTTAAGTGAAGAGTCGTCCCTAAAACATGGAAGATGCATCAACAATTCAAGTTCTTCAAGCTTTAAATTTTTCAGAGAGGCCGGGATGCTAGGCAGTTGCTGGAGCTTAGGGGCATGTATCACATATAGAATCTTAAGTGAAGAGACGTTCCTAAAAGATGGAAGATCTTGCAATGATTCGAGTTGTTGAAGCCTTAATTGTTTCAGAGAGGCCGGGAAGTTCGGCAGCCTTTGAAGCTTGGGAACATCTATCATTTGTAAAATCTCAAGTGAAGAGACGTCCCTAAAAGATGGAAGATCCTGCAATGATTCAAGTTTTTGAAGCCTTAATTGTTTCAGAGAGGCGGGGATGTACGACACCCTCTGGAGCTTGGGAACATCTATCATATGTAAAATCTCAAGTGAAGAGAAATAAGTGAGAGACTCAAGATTTTGAAGCCTTTCCAAGTTCAACTCACAGAGGTAACTAACTTTCTGAAACCACTGCTCAGCCCCATATGGAAATGAAATCATCGGACAATCACTAATTGTCAACAAGTTAATGGACTCAGTACTTCTCAATGGCTCCATCATCAACACGGATGGATCATTTATAACTTCTGCACTCAATCTGAGCTCGTAGCTCGAAGCCATATCTCTTGAGAAATACTTTAAATTGCCGCAATTTTGAATTATAATGTTGCAACAGCTGTTGTTATCCTTTAGAAAGTCAAAAGATTTCCACGGAATGTTATCTAACTCCAATCTCTTGAGCTTAGGAGGTAAATAGGACAACTCCTGCAACTTTGGGCAGTCCTTGAGGTAAAGTTTATTTAAGCAAGGAAACAAACAGTTATCTATTGTTGCTTCTACATCAAACCATACCTCCAATACTTGAAAATTTTCAATATGTAGCAACTCCAGTGATTGAAGGGTACAAACCTTTTATCATGATGAAATTTATTATCAAGCAGCTCTATTTTTGGCATGTTATGAAGGTAAAGATACTTGAGACGAGGAAGCTGCCCAAAAGGTGGAAGAATTTCCCAGTTCAAACACTTATCCAGTCTGATATATTCTACATTAAAGATCGAATTGTCTTTGTTCAACCATAATGTACACCCTGCACCCATGTATGCATGCATCAACAATTCCTTTATGTCGTTGGGTGGTTCAAGTTTTTCAAGCACCACCACTTCTGAGTCTGAATCTGGTTCCACTTTTCTTGATGTCCACTTTTCTTGATGTTCTACTATTCTTATCTATTTGAAGGTTTGTAAGCAGATGTTCAAAGTTGGTGAAGGTGCCACTTTCCTCATCTAAGCGTTCATAGAAACCCCATTCAAGTGTGCCACTTCTTTCCTTATCTATGTGGTCATATTCACCCCAATCTAAGGACAAAATTGTGCGGTTTTCCTTATAATCTAATTCATCACTAGGAAAACGAAATTTAGCACTACAGGGACGAAGTCTAGGAAACCTCACTTTTTGTATTCGACAAATGTCATTCGAATGTTTCAGCTCCCAAATCTTATAACCATTCTTAATCCCAACATAAAATCCATCCAATTTTTGAAGTGACTTTAAATTCCTATGTACAAACTTCCCAGGCAATTTTAGGTAACGTAGTTTTGAAAGGTTGCTCATATCTTCTGGGATGAAATCATCAGAAAATGCACATTTAGGTACTGAATTAAAGATAAAAAACTGCAAATGATAAAGATTGCAAAGAGCCTTTGGTAGCAGAGTGATAGGGGTTCTATAAAAATTTAAGTATCTGAGATGTATCAAATTTTTTATTAACTCAGGCACCACTTTCAAATATGGAAAAGACAAGAATAACACACGAATGCTTCTCAATGCTTTGAAACCTTCAGCAAGTACATCCATTAAATTTTCATCTTGACCTTCTCGACAGGTCAAAAAAAGCGAACGTAAATGTTTCAATTTTGTAATCTCTCTCAACGTATCTAGATTTGTAATGTCAACAAATAAGTGTCGAATAGTTTCAGGAATGTCAAAAGACAAATCTTTACTCTCCACAAACCTGAAACATTTTTTCTGAGAAACATCCCGTGCTAGTGCATGTATTAAGTCATGCATCGTATAAAATGTCGAGTTTTTCTTATCAAAAAAAGATATTTTGACCAAAGTATCAAAATACCATCTTCCCATATCTTCGATAGTGTCTCCTGGGTTAGAAGGCGGCTGGACAAAATCCAATGCAATCCACATTCGAACCAAATCATCTTTATCAAATAGATGACCTTGTGGGAATATACCACAGAATGCGAAACAATTTTTTAAAGGATCTGGGAGGATGGAATAGCTCAATCTTAAGACTGTAAGGATTGTATTTTTATCCTGGCAAGGCAGTGATGTTATGCTTTCAATATTTTTATTCAAAACTCTTTGCCAATGCTTACTTTTGCTGCCAACAAAGATATGAGAATATTTA